TGTTTCTACGAAAAAGTTCAAAAGTTCCTGAAATTGTTTTTGCACTGTTATAAATGTATCGTTTCCGACTGTTCGATTAGTGATAAATTTTGACGGTTTACAGATTTGAGCGAACTTTGGAAGTTTTGCATTATCACCAGTTGTGAGGATTGTAGTGACAAATTTACCGGGCTCAAGAAGATTAATAAATTGAAGCCAAATTATTGGTCAGAGTATCAAGTAGCTTCATTACATTTTTCTGCTGTTTTGTTTTTGCACGCGCAGAGCAAGATCGCATCAAATGCTTTAGAAAAAACGTTTATAAAATTACTATTAAAATGACTTCGGGGCTAGTCAACATGGTGACGGAATTATTTTACTCGGGTGGTTTTGCTTTCTCCAGAAAAATTTCGACTGTTTAACTGGCAATTTTTGACATAATTTTGTTTAAAAAAATTGTTTTTAGCTCACTTTTTTAGCTCACAAAATAAAATTACCTGTGATCTTTTTTGTAATATATTTCGGTGGTTTGAAATTTTTTCGTGCTCTTGATCCGTACGCGGCGATATTAACCGAGTTAAAAATTGTTCCAAATTGAAATGATGCACGCTTTTTTGTCTATTTAAAGTTTTTGCTTCTGCAATTTTTATCTTTTTGTATTTTACATAGCCTATGGTGGGATAATTTTCACAAAAAATTCTCAATGTGTTTTTGAAATCTGCATAAGTCTTTTGAAAGCGAACGCTACATTTCATAGACCTTAAAAGACAGTCGAAAGTTTCAGGGCTTCGCGCTGAAACGAACAGCCTTCGTAACGTTCAAAACTGATAAAAGTTTTTCAATTTTTGAATCTGTTAGTTTGCGGAAGCTCAATTCCAGACTTCTATGAAGCTTCTTTTCAACTTTAAAAGAAACCTTTCAGCTAAGTTAACTCTCTAAGCTCGCATTTTGGTTCATCTTTAAAATTTTGTCAATTTCAAATCAAGGATAGTCGCAAATGCTGATCTTCATTTTTGTAATGTTTATAATAGTACATATATAAAAATGAATGTACCAAACCTGAAAAACTTAAATTCTTAAAAGTAACAAGTATAGATATGTGAACAATTTATGATCCAATTTAAAAAAAAAACAGCTTTTTTCAAAACAAATCAGAAAAGATTGTAACCAATTATAATTAACTATTGTTTTTGTGGAAAATTACTTAAAATTTCTAAATTTAAGATGTACTTTCATGTCTGAGGTATATATGCAGACCAAAATCTTCCAAGTATGACACTGTATCTTCGTTTTTTCATCGGACGCGACTTTTTCAGTACCTGTGATCAGCTTATATAGGGACTTGAGTCGGAAAACTACGTGCAACCATTTTTTTATTTTTCTACTCTGACAGACCACTTTTGCACTTCAGAAAGCGTTAGTCTAGGGAAGCGTATTTTTCGTACAATGACTTTTCGGTAAAACGAATACACAAAATACGAAAAACACAAATTACTTGAAAGAATTTTAAAAAAAATTTGCACCTCAGCTTTTTTTTTCCTTTTGAGAGCTACCAGTTTTTCCATAAGCCTCCGTTTAAACATATTAAAAAAGTTGAGAGGGTTACCTAGGAATAAAAATTGTGTTTTTCCTAAAATATTATGTTTCACAGAACCGAGTGGCTTGACAAAGTTATGTGTGCAGACTAAGTATATTTAAATCGTCTAAATATATGACCCATATAGCCAATTTTATCTTAAGAGAGCATTTTGAGGCAAAGTTTTACTTTAAAAATCACTGCGTAAATACTCAAAGGAGCTCACAATCTATTGAAAGATAAAAATGAACAGTCCTGCACAACTCTAAAACCATATTTAAATAGACATTGGTTGTTATTTCCTCGGAAAGCTACCTTGGGCATTTTTCCGTGGAGGAGAAAATGTTGCATTCTATTAACCTTAGCCGATCCACCTTGCAACTCTGGGCTACCTCCAACCATGTTGAAAGCAGGATTCAAACCGCAGCCTTCGGGTTAGAGGCCGAGCGTTGTACCCAAACATCAACGGCCACATACAAATCAACACCATGGAGACTATTGGCTTAATTCTAATCTGTTTTTGAAATTTTTTCGGTGAAACCCTGCGTAAATGCAAGTGTTTTTTGTAACGGTGTTAAAGATTTCACATGAAAAAATACTCTACTCAAACCCTTGCGATGCGATGGCCCTTCAATTTTAGATGTAGTTTTTATGGTTACATTTATGATGTGATAACGTGCATGAAAAATTGGCGCCTCTAGATAACTCAACACCGGTTTGAAAAACTTATTTTCAAGTTTGTTGATGTACAAATTTCGAAAAAATACGTGACTGTTTCAAACTAGAAATCCCGAAAAGATTGTTTTTCAATTCTTCAGTTAAAAATTTATCAAAATTCGATTTCGATTTCGTAGTCATTTGAGCTCCTCATCTAAGAAGAGGTCAATTAAACTAATCCTTTTAAACTCTTATCATCTTTGGAATTGATTAACTCCTTATTAGGTTGAAAAAATTAACTGAGATAGTATTACTTCAAAGTTCATGTGAATGAGGGAATAAAATAATTCAGGTTAAAATTTACAGAATTTTCTTAAAAATGGTTGCTTTCGGCTTCAAATTTCGAAATAAATGAACAAATGCTTATGCACGGTGTTGCTTTTTTCTTCAAATACTTTTCAAGTTTACGAAACTTTTTTTACTCTCATAGAGTACCGTTTCTGACTGTTTGAGTTCATTAGTTAATCACCTCCAATCAATTTGTGGTAAAAATTGAAAAGTTTTAAAACACTTATTTTTTAAGTTTATCCGACAAAGTATTATGTGGTTCAAAAACCGCGTAAATCGCGCGTAACATATCGAATGAAATCAGCATTTTAATGATTTCACGCAATAAAAAAACTCAAAAATTTGAATTTAAAATTTTGCAAATTGTATATTGTCGAGAACTAAATAATTCGGCAACGAAATAATTCGGCAATTCGAAATAATTCATAAAACTTTTTTTGTAAAAATTCAAGTAAATCAAAATTGGTCTAAGCATCGGGTTAATATCAGATATCTTTTGGATTTGGTATTGCGCTTAGGATAAAATCTCGACAAGTTTTCGTTTAAGAGAATTTTTTGTCAACATAAAATCTTTTCCGCTAAATTGTTTTAGGTGGAAGATATAACTTTGATTTCATGATTGACATTTTAGCCAATTAGATATGATAATTCACATCACAGTTAAATAGTGAGGAGGGTGATCTCAAATCCTAATATTGGGCGACCTGTGATAAATTGAATCGAACTTTCTTTCATGTCTAAAACCGAAAAGCAAAGAAAAGCAAATACTGAAGGTTTTTCAGTTTTTAATCTGTTATTAGGTCAAAGTTTGTTTCAGACTTCCTCTATGGGTTTTTTTAGATTCAGTAGAAAATTTATAACCTAATTATTCTATTTTAGCTCAATAATTAATTGTCAGCTCTAAGTCTAGGCTATTCGCAAAGGCTAATCTTCATAGGCCAATTCATAACTTATCCATTAAACTCATAGGCACTCAATTGACTTTGAACTCGCTTTTGAAACGCTAATGTCTGAACTTTTTGAATTGAAAAGTTATTTATAAAAAGATTTTCCGCAGATTTTTATTTATTAAAAAAATTATAGAAAAACATCTTTATGAATCATAAAAACAAATTCTTTGAAACATGTATATAAAATTTGCATCTTGTTTTTAATTTATCCTGCTTTCATTGATTCTTTGTTTCTAATTTTATAACAATAAACTTCGTTTAATTCAGATAGATAAATGAAAAAAGGATAGCCGTTTACTGTGCAAGTAGCACAAAAAATTCCGACCATAGTCTATTAAAAAAATTTTTTTTTCAAATTAGAAAATTTTAGCGAGGTGTGATAAAAAAGTTCTGAACAAAAAAACAAAACTTAGGCATATTCAACAGTCATAGTAAAGTAGGCCGATTCTTAAACAGTTTTTGAACAAAAAAAATTCAGTTAATTGAATTCAAAAACTTTCAATTTTTTTTGCACAAATATTTTGAGTTTTGAAATTTTTGATTCCCAAATTTGCATTAGAAAACTCTTAAATTTAACTTTGTTGAAATGAAACTAAGTTTTTGTGGCCTAATTAGACAAAAATTAGCTATTGTAAGCCTGTTGGCTCACCTTAGTAGCTTGAATTTAGAACAAAAATCAAACACTTCACATTAATTTTTCTCAACTTGAAAACAGTTTTTTTTTTGGATTTTTTTTAATGTCGTTCGAATTAAGACCAAAAGAGCTTTAATATGATATATCACTCGACCCTTTTCGATTATTATTTGTGGTACTTGGTTTTGCATGGAAAAGAAACGAAAAAAAAGACAAAATCATTTAACACACCCGTATGCAAAGTTCATCATTTTTTTTTCAAATGGTCCGAACAACTAAGGAGACATTCAATTCCGTGTTTCCTAGAGTTTAGCTAGAATAGAGGACTTCAACTCACCCATAGAAGAAAAGGACTATTACTTACAATTTTTTTCAACCAAAAATTCTTCTGGCATTTTGTATTTAAGCTCCTGGGCTTGTACTGGAGCCTTAAAAGTTTCAGCCCGCGGGTTTCATAGCTGTAGCTTGCTAGGTAGTAACAATTATAAATAAGATGAAGATTTCAGCTTTAGTTTTTTTACCCAAACCACTTCCTGTTTTTAAAACTAAAGTTTTTGACTGACATTTTGTGCCTTATCGAAGATGTTGGCTCTGTAAGCTCAGATAAAAAATTTTCAACCTGCGAGTGCTTTTCGTACTCTTTTGAAATTTTAAAATTTGAAATTTTGGCAGTTTTTGACATCTTTCTGCTTGAAATGCTGGAATTTTTCTGCCTTTATGAAAAGTGATGGTACATATTTTCCGAGTAAAAAAAAGAATAAAAAGCTTGAGCAATTTTTTTTCAGATTGGCTGGATATTAGACAGAAAGAGATCAGATCAAAGATTGCTTTAAATTTCACAAAAGCTTATAGGGTCCTTATTAAATTGTGAAGTTCGAACCCAATATATAACCACTAAGATGGGTCACATTTTGTTTTTTCTAAACCAAACAAACATGCCGACACTACCCGAATATTTGTTAGGCAATTAATATCAAACTAACCATCATATTCTGACAAAAAAATTAAAAGTGGAGAAAATATCCAAAATCTTGCATATAACATTTCAAAAATGCTTTGTCTCTCTTGTGGTTTCCATAAAAAACTTCATTTTTTGTGTACAAACAATTACCCTATATGGCACATTAGTGTGGCACCTGCTATAGTGGTGTAGTTTTTTTGCAGTGGGGTCCGCAGTAATCGGATCTACCTTGCTGTATCCTGGGGATTTAGTCTGAGCTCAGAGACGGAAATGCGAACCTTAGAGAGCCTTGATTCGGCAAAGGTAAACCTTGGGGGTCTCTCGACATTTTTGCCTTGCGCTTGCCATGTCTGAATACGGCCTTGAAAGCCACTAGACTAGTGCCATTAATAGTCTCGCATGTCTTTAGATAGAGACGACTATTGGTACAACTTTCTGTGTTGGTGGATACCAGTAGCGGGGGACTGTGTTCTACTGAATCCCCTGATGATTGTGAAAACTATTTGTTGAAAATGGGTTTTGCCGAAGTTGCCATGAATGATAAGCGCCACAATGCGTTTAGCTTTGCGGATCCTATGATGCAATCTTAGGAAGGGTTCTTACCCGATGATTTTAAAAAGCTCGGATTCGTAAGGTGGGTAGCTAGGCAATTTGCTACCCCTAAAGAATAGTGCTTCTTGGTGAAACTAACTCTCAGTGATGGCCATTTATGGCTATGAGAAAACTGAGGACCCTATGTAAGACTTTTCAAAAAACTTTGCAGTTTCTTTCGCCTATAAAAAAATTTTATGATAGCAAAACTTTCCAAAAAACAAAACAAAACATTTTCAAATCTTCCAGAATTAATTTGTTTTATTTTTCGACCCTAATTTCAGATAAACTTCAATTTTTGATTTTTTCATGTTTTTTATCAATTTTTATTCAATGCAATTATTCATTCGGTTTTTTTTCTTTATTTTTTTAAACAAATTTTGTAAATTTTTTTCTGATCGGCTTTCAATCATTCGGTTTCTCTATCTGTGCTCTTTCTACGCTCAAACTAAATCTCAATGTAATTTCTTTTGCTAAAAATGACGTGTCGCGAAGCCCATTTTCAGTTTGATCGGAAAAACTCGTCGTCAGTTTGCCGACAAGGAATAGAAAACTACAAGTCGGACAATATTATGAACCATAATAACTAGATCTAGCAGGGGCAGACCTAGGATTTTCTGGTGGGGGGGTGTCGAAATTTCAAAAAAAAAAATTGAAAGTTTTATCAACTTTTTCTTTTTAGGTCGACCAAATTGATTTTGCGAGCTCTCCCAAATCAATAAAAAGACCTTGTTTTGGCCAATTGTTCTGCACCGCAGTCAAATTTTCGATGACAAAAAACAGGCAAAATAATCGCGTTTTTTCGGCGCGCGCTCCCCCTTAAAATTAGCAGATTTAAAGAAATTTAAGGTCAGTCAGCCAAAAATTAAACTGGATATCTCAAAATATTACAAAAGGGGGAACCTTTGGGTTGGCAGCGGGTCAAATCCCACGTCCGCAAATCCCCCGCACCCAAAAATTTATCCACTAACAAGCAAACTTGAGTGCAACAAACTCTAAAATTTAAACCTGAAAAAAATATATTTTCAAATTTGAAAGGAAATTATCAAACTCCGACATTTTTTGGCTACAATTTCATTGTATTTTTAAATAAAATTTGCAATTTCCTAATATATTTTTTTTTGTGTTAACAACTTGGTACATTAACCGGTTTAAATTTGAAAACAAGCAAAAATGAAAATTAGTTTTTTATCTATTCTATCAGAAAATTGGATCAGGACGTCAAGAAATGTTTGGTTTTTTCAATAACCCCCCCCCTTAAACAATGAAAAGTCGAAATCAGCATTTCTACTGTTAAATTGGATCGATTTTATTAAAAAGTGCTGGCTATCAAAAAAGCACAAGACAAAACGAGGCAGTTTCATCTAATTTAGTACCAAACAGGTCCGTTCTCCTGTTTTTTTTGCCGTTTTCTTCATATAAAGTTCACAAAAAGAGTCCAAAAGCCAAATGTGTTCTGCGTCGATGTTTAATTTCCATATAAACAGTTTTCGGAGTTGATTTAAGGCTCTGGGTATCAGCCTTGTAGTTCGTAGTTATATCGATCCGGCTTTGTAATCAAATCAATTATTTTCACTTTTCAGGGCCTTTGCAGCATCCATTCATAGCAAATACTTCTTGTAAACAGAACATTCCGCAACCCATAAAACTTGAAGGGCAAACTTTTATTTTCAACAAGGTGCCTTCAACAATTTCCTATTTGAGGAAATTTGACCACTATTTATTTTTAAACAACCCATTTTTTTGCTTTGCATGTGTAGAACCCGTTTCACTGCTGGTCAGAATATTGAAAATTTTCGCTTTTTCCTAATTCATTTTTGGGTAATAAAACAAATTTCAGCCAGATATTTGAGCAAAACTGATTATGACAATTTGTTGAAACGAAATATCACGTGGGGAAGCCTTCTATGTCCGGTCATTTGAGAATGAAGGAAACTAACGATCAAGTTGCCTTTATAAATTCAAGTATGAATAATTGTTCATCCTTCCCTTAAACGCCAAATTGAATAACTGAATTTGATGGTTCGTTAAGCAATTGGACCTATAAGCTTTCACGTGGGTTTTTTTGTCTATTTGGTCTTTTTGGCTTTCGGTTTTCGGTTGTACAACCTTGGGTTGAAATTTTAAAAACAAGTTAATTTTGTATTAAAAACTGGATCTGTTTTAGTCAAAAATACAAGGCTGATAACCAGAGCGCTACTTATCTTGCAAATTAGCGAAAAGGAATGTTAAATACAAAAAGTTTATTCCATAAATGGTCCCAAATTTGGAAATTTATATTGAGGAAATGAAAAAAAAATGTTCAAAAGAACGGTTTGAGGCTGAATTACGCCAAACTATTTCGTTTTGACATGTCTAATGTCTAATAATAATCTCATGCTTTTTTAAAGTAATATTGATGGAAAGTTCAATAAAGGGGTTATGAACAAAAATTTTGACGTGAATTGTTTCAGTGCTCATATGAGGGCAAAATCCTGATTTATTTTGTAATAAATGGATGGTCGCAAATCTTATTGAGAAAAAACCACGTCATTAGTCGGAGCTTCAACCCATTTTACTGCTTTGCATGAGCTGAACCTCAAAAATACGCCAAGGAAAATATCATTTGCGAAGCCTTCTATGTCCGGTCACCTGAGAAAAAAGGAAACTAAAGATGAAGTTGCTTTTTAAATTTCAAGCACAAATAATCTAATTGTTAATCCCTCATTTAGTCGTTAAAATAAGTTACTGAAAACAATGGTTTGTTAAGCAATGTGATATATTAGCTTGCAAGTTTTTTTTAGTTAAAATCTCCCCTCCCCCCTAATAATGAAAACTCAAAATGGAAAATTTAAAAGAAAAGTTGGATCTTACTAAAACTGTTATTCAAAGCGTTACATTAGAATTTTGAAATGATACCTGTTAACAGATAGGTAAATGCACATATGGTCTCAAATTTGAAATTTTTATGCGTAGGAAACAGAAAAACAATTGATCCGAAAATAGGTTTGAGGCTGAATTAACCCAAATTGTTTCGTTTTGGCCTTTTCAATAATAATATCCTGCTTTTTTAACAATATCGATCAAAAATTACTCATAAGAGTTGCCACCAAAAAATGTTCGTGTGGTATCAGGGTGACTTTATCTAGTAAGATTTCATACAGAGTGTTTCACAACATACGAGATTTTTGAAACAGTTAAACTAAGATATGGGTTTGATTTTTGCAACTTGAAAAAAAAACAGGTGGATTTTCTATTCAAAATGAAAACTTTTTTTAAAAATCGCATGCCACTACTTTCTTCACCATCTTTACCATCTTCCCCATGTTTCTAAGCAAATTAAAATAAATGTTGAAGAGAAAAAAATTGAATCATACAAAGTGAGTAAGAAAAAATGGACAATAACTAACCAAATTTAGTTAAACTGTGCCAACGACTTGTGTGCGTTAAAAATTATATCTCAATAAAATGAAAAAAAAAACCATTATAATACAGTTTCGTTGTTTTTATCTATAAAAATGAAAAACAATCGGTTATGTTGATTTGCATAGTGTTTAATGCTTTATTAAAGAAAAGCTATATAATCCGTTTTTAATTAATTGTAATCGATTAGTTTTCACTTTTATAAACACTGACAATAGAACTCAATCTAAATCGATTTTATCCATAGAAATGAATTACGTGTGGCCAAGAATGCGTCCTCAGTCGCAGATGAACGTCACTTTCTCAATAAAAGTGCAATCATGGGACGCAAAAAGCAAATCTACGATAACGGGTTTTTCACAAGAGAGGGGGTTTTGTTGTGCACCGACTCGCCTTTATGACCCTTTGAAGTTTTACCCAAAAATTTTACCGTCGAGTTGTGTGTATTTTTGGTGTGGAAAAATTTGCTTTTGACAAAATTCGGTCTGATCATATTTCGACCAGTTCAACCCGGGTACATTGGATCAAGTTTTGATAAATTATAAAGCAAAAATTCGATAAAATCAGACAGTTTACCGGGCACTGATTCTACCGTCCCCTCCTCCCCCTTTACATCTTTTGGGGTGTTCTTTGTTGACGTGATTGTTCTCAAATTTATGTTCACACGTATTGCAATAGTCATGCAATTAGAACTTGCAACAACTTGTAAGCACATTTTTCAACCGCGTATTCAGACTGGTCAGTATTTAGACAAATACTGTTTCAACCAATCAGAATCGAGACAAAGAAGAAATTAATAAATAATTGTTCCGACTTTCGATACGAAAGTAACGGAATATTTTTGTGCTCGGGGTGGGTTTTTTTTTCTTCAGACAAATTTCGACTTTTTAATTAGCCTTTTTTGACGGAATTTTTTTTTATATCATTCAAAAGGTATTGTTGTCCTGAGCTTAAATTTGAAAAGATATTTTACCTTTGATCATTTTTTGTAAAGTTATGAGGGTTTAAAGATTGCCATTTTGACCAATTTGGGACAATTAACGCGCGATATAATTCGCGCTATTAACGCGTAAGCGGAGATTTAATCCGTCTGATAAATCGTTCCAAATTGGTTGAAAGAAGCTTATTTGCCATAATTGATTTGTTAGAAGGAACGAAATCTATCTTTTTATACTCTATATGGCGTGTGGGGGGATGATTTTCATAAAAAGTTTCAAATTTTCGAAAAAAAAAATTTCATTTTTTTTATTTCATTTAATTTTTTTAATGTTATTACTGCTGCTCCATAAAACTTAAAAGGCAGTCGGAACATTCAGGTCTTCGCCCTGATACGAGCAGTCTTGTTATTATTTATTTTGGATTATTTATGTCTTTTCTCGATTCTATTTGGTTCATACAGTATTTTCTAAATACTGACGAGTATGAATACGCGGCTGTCTAAATACTGGCTGCACTCCGATTACACCGTAGTGTAAAATTGATGTTTATGTAGAAAGATGGCATGTGGGGGAAACTGCAGAAGAGCCCAATCATGCTTGCAATCGGACAAGTGATGATTCTAGTCTTAATTGTCTTTTTTGGCTTTTCAAGATTTCAACAAGTTCCTGTAAATCGGGGGCTTTTTTCCTACCTGCCAATTTCAAGATGTATGTTTTTTCCGCATTATCTGGTTGTTATCATAGTTGGCATGCGGACTAATTGGACCATGACAAACCTTTTTAGTCTTCATATTTAACTATGTAAACCCACTCATTACACCAAAAAATTGATGCTCGTGCGAGGCAGGGGAAAGAAAAATATCCATCGGGACATATTTTATTAATTCAACGCTTTTTCTTATAAACTCTAAGGTTAGACACTTCATAAAAGGGTCTTTATAAAGATTTGTGAGAGCTCGGGAAATCAGTTTGGTCGGCCTAAATAAAAGGTCGATAAAGTTTTGATTTTTTTTGAAAATCCACCCTACCCCCCCCCTCCCTCGAGAAAATCCTAGATCCGCCCCTACTTCATAATAAGGTCTTTTTAGTGATTTGCGAGAGAAAATACCCCCAAGAAAATAATACTAGGTCCGCTCGTGCTTTATATCATTGATATGCCTTAGATCCGTCCGAGGATGAGAGTAATACTTATCTGGACAAGAAGATCTGGCAGCCTTGGAAGGCGAGGGCAAGGATGGTGCGGCCCCAGGGCGAGAGTGAGCTGTACGGTAATCTGATGAGTGCAAAGAGACGCTTCAGTATGCTGGACAGATACCAGCAGAGAATCGCACACAATAACCTCTAGATCTGCAAAAACAAACAATAGCAGATAAACAGGAGTAAATAGCAAAAACATGCAACTTCTATGCAATTGGAAATTATATTTAAAAAGGCTGATTCATGAATTGAACGTGTTCGTTCGCGTTGTGAGTTGATGGTTCCGTTGTTTGTAGATAATACTGGAAATTATCTTTTTAGAAAAAAAGTAACCCAACAATTTTTCTTTAAAAATTATTCACGTTCGAAAAAAATTCTAAAGGCATTTTTTGAACCATGATAACTTTTGCAGTTAAATTGTTGTTTGGATCTAGTTTTTTTTAAAAAAAGCGAAAAGGCATTAAAAAAATTTTAAAAAAATTGCAGCATTTTCCACATGGATTTGTGAAACTACAGATGAAAAATGAGGATGCAAAAAAAAAATTTTTTTTGCGTTATTGAAATTTTGTTCAAACAAGGTGAAAAGTAAGCGGGACGATTTGTGCGTAAAGTCGCTTTTTGACCTACCTCAAGGAAAGCTCAATGAGTCAAGTGTGGCATCTTTTTAAGGCCCTTTTAGAGCTTTCAAACGATAATATTATGACGTCTTAATTTTTTATTGCAGGTTATGAGAAGAAAACTGATTTAGAAAGCGTTTGAAACCATGTTTGAGGTAGGAACTGTTAGTTTCTTCAAGACCTTAAAGTTTTTATTGTGGAAAAAGAATCCAACTTCTTTGCAAAGTGATGCTAATCGAGTTTTTTCTGATCTTTTCCAATTTTTCTGGCAGCTTTTCCTGTAAATTTTCGGATTTTTTTTCAGATTTTGGATAGAAAATTGACGCTAATTTTTGTTCAGATGAATTAGAAGTTAATTCTCAAAATAGTGATTGATTGCGTCATTAACTACCTTAACCTAACAAAGTTAAAAATTATTTTTCAAAATTTTACACAGTGCTGAGGTTGTTATCAAAGTATCGGGACTGTGTATCAAATTTTATACAACCTCAATCTCATACAAGTGCAGCAATATACAAATAAATATGATTAGTTGACAGAGTAAAGGCTTAGATGGTGACCACAAATAATTTAATGGTCAAAGTCTGCAAAGCCATCTGCCCGTTTAGGGTCGCTAAGGGCGTACCCGCATCCATTTTTAGGCGTAAGTAATCGATGGCAACGAATGATTATGTTGATTTTCTGGAATTTACAATCGACTATAAAAGTGTTCAAAAAATTTATAATTGATTAAAACCATGAAATTTTCCTATAACCGATTATGAGTGATTATAGCTCATACAAAAAAACTCTTTAAATCAGTTATAATCGATGAAAATCGAATATAATCACTTATTTTAAAAAACTTATTCACACCAAAAGTATGATTCAATTATATCTTATATGTGATTAATTTTTGTCATTAACAAAATCTCTAAAAGTGAGATGTCTTGTCACACTTTGATTCATCTGAAGGCAAAATTTTACCACGAAACAAAAGTTCATAGAGATCCTTTTATAGTAGTTGAAGGGTTCCCACAGTAGGTCAAAATTAAATTTTACAATTGAATCATGAAACTCAACCACTGTGCTGTTATGTTGGTGGTAAAAACAACTTTGAATGTGCTCATGCAACAAATCTAATAAAGAAAATTTGAAAAAAAAAAAAACATTATAAAATTGAATTGATTTGAAATTTTTTCAAATATTTTTTCTAATTTTTCACAAAAACCAACGTCTACGAAAAGCATTAAATATAAGCATTTCAGATGCAAGGTTGAAAACGAATTAGGCAAACAAATGTGGCTATGAACAAAAAAATCCATTCTAATGGATTTTTTGTGCAAAACCCATGGGTTAGTAATTGGGTTAAAAATAATCAATTATAATCGATTAAAATTTGGTCGAAAAATGGATGAACTGTTTGATGACTTTGAAAAATTAAAATGTATCTAATGTGATTATATTTTATTTTTATATTTTTATATTTTTATTTTTTTAATATAATTTCAAAAAGAGAGACTATAATCATTTACTAATTGATTAAAATCAATTATTTCTCAGTTTTTATAAGATTGGTACTAAAAATTTAATATAATCAATTATTATCTGTTGAAACTGGATGCGGGTATATTCGCTGTAACTTTCTAGTCAAAACATTCTTCTAATGGCAAGCTCGCAAGACGTTGGCGCGATTGCGGTGTCTTTCCTTTTTTGTTTAGGCTGGATTAGTATATGCCAATTGAACCAGTGTATAGTAAAACTCTATTGATCGCGATGTCATTTTCAAAAAAAAATAGATAACTAGAGAAAAAAATCATTTTGAGTAAAACTTTGAAAAAAAAATCGGCTTAAGAAAAAGTAGATGAAAAACAGAGGCTACTATAATTTTTCGAAGTTAAGTTATTATCGAATTTTTAATTATCTTTCAGCGATTTGTTATCTCTCTCTTTAAATTTTTTATTTATTTAAGTTACCTTCACTATAAACAACAACTTAGAAAAAAAACTTAGCTGGAAAAAAAAACTTGAAAGAGAAATTCTATTTTTTTGCTATAAGAGAAAACAATTCATGTTTGAATTTCTTTTCTAAAAGCATGCAATCGCATTTTTCTGTGCTTCGATAAAGCAAATCGTTTCCAATACAGCAAGACCCTTCTTGTTTACACTTCAAGATATTTTTGCTTCAGCACTGGAAATTCAATCGTTGAGAAATTGTAAAGGCGACTATTTTTCGTTAATTTTTTCTCAAAATCGCGAATAAAATTATTTCATCTAATTTTTTTTTAATTTATAAATTTGAGCCTTATTCCTAGTGTTTTATAAAAGAGAGATAATTCGAGATTATAAAATCCAACTGTGTTAGTAGAAAGCTGATTTTCTTGACCTATTTAAAATTGTGCTTTTGCTTCTAGCTGCCATTTTCTGAAGGAGTTTTTGACACCCGTTGTTTATCGTTCCGAGGGGAAGCGTTTTTAGGGAGAATATTTTTTAATCACTGTTTTTTTTCTCAAAACAATTGCCACCCCGGTTGTTTTGAGGCAATGTAGCGTCATTCTAGTGTTCTGGGATAATACTAAGAAATCACTTTACAAACGCGCAACAGCAATCAAACATGTCATATTTTAGCTATTTTTTTGTTTTTCACCCTAGTTCATTACGATTGGTTATTTTTAAAGCAATTGCTCAGCTCGAAGAGTTCTCGTTTTGTTATTCTCAATATTTGAAAGAAATCATTGCAGTCAACACGAAAACATTTTTACTTGCTTTCGACGAAAGACGGAACAATGAATACCAAATCAAGTTTAATGGGTGTATCAAACAGACTATGACAAGCAAGTGATCCATGCTTAATAGACTCCCCCGCAAAATCTATTGAAATCATAGACCAAAACCATCAAAAGTCAATTTACCGCTTGTTCAACTCAATTTCAAGAAAATGACAGATATTGAAGTACAGATCATAGCATTCAAATTTTTGAAGCGACGTTCCGATTTTTTGTAACATGTTTTTTGAGTTTTTCGATGCTAAAAAAATTAACTCGTCTCAATTTCAAAACTTTACTTTTCATAATTTCCGATCAAACAACTCCTTCAATCTTTTACATTACCAAAACTTTTTTTCGATTGCTTTAAATTTTTTCTGAAATCTTTTTTTTTCGGCTCAATGCGTACTCATAAACTAGGCTTTGCTACTGGTTGGTAAGTTTTTTTCGTTGCCATCTCAAATTTCAGCTTTCTTTTTTTGCAATTATCTCTTAAAATGAAAACATTTTACTCTAGATCAAAAATTTGTTTGCAACAGCAAGTTAAACTTTGCAAAAGCACCAATTGGCTTGAAACTACAAAGACCTCGTCCAATACCACGCCTGATTTGACAACGGCCTCAGTTCAGCTATACTAGGACTATGCTAGGAGCGAAAAAAAAATTAGTTAAGATTTTGTATGAAGTCGATCGAAGGAAGTCAACATATTTAATTTCAAAAGCAACAGGATGGCAAATCACTGGAGGAAAAGAGTTCTGCGATTTCTTTTATATCATCATTTTTTTGCATGTCGCCATCAAAAAGCTAGAAAGCCATCTATCCATAGTGGAAAACCAGCTATTAGTCTAGCTGAAATGCTTTTTCATGATAAACTGTAGCAGGAGGCCTGAACAAATTCACATCCGTAACAACTATAGAACATCTTTTTTAGATTGATTGTGTTTTATACCGGTCTTTTCGGGCTTCGTGTTTCATTGAACAAATCAATTTTAAGGAGTTCAATTAAAGCTGCATTGCCGAACATGAATTATTTCGTCATTTCTGAAAAATACAACTGAGTTTCTGAAAAATAGCAGGAACCAGCTTTTGTTGTAAAACTAACATGGTAGTGAAAACCAAATTTTAAAAGTTTCAGTGAGCGTACAGTGAGACATTTAGTAGAGCAAGCACCTTGAGATGGTTTTTTTTGTGGGCATTTTGGTTATTTGTTTCCAAACCTAATCAACAACGTTTCGTTATAACTTTTAGAGGTACAATTCAATACGGAAAAATTCCACAGCAAGTTTTGTCTAAAAAGACAAAGGTAAACGAAAATCTTGCAAAAGATGTGCTAGGAAAAAGGATTCGGATCATGTTAACTATTTCCCCCCTATGGTACCTTGGAAAGAATCTCCACCCCTATAAAAACACATTTAGTTTATTCTCAACTGGATTGGTTTTGTATTTCTCAGAAATGTGTTCTGTCGCATTCCTATTGGTTGACGTTATTTCAATTCGCATTCGTATTGGTTGACTTTATTTCAACAAATTTCATCCAAACCTTGTTAACTATTTCCCCCCCTATTGCAATAGATAACATGATCCAAGGATTCTAACATACAACAGCAAGAAGAGAGGCAGACGAAATCAATGTTTCTACAGCTTTCTTACACCAAGTATCTATGTTCGGTCACGTTCTTTTGAAAGACGTCACCTCATTAGTCATAACTAACGATTATGGTCTTTTTGATTGCAGTTTTTTCATATAGGAAGAAATGTCTCTGATGGTTTTTCTTTTGTGCTCAGATCTCATAGCATAAAAAAAAAGCAAGTCAAGTGTGTCTATATTACAATTGGGCTTAAAATAAAATTACAACAGAGCAAAAACTATTCTCTTGTGCCTATTTTTCTTGCGTGAAACTAAAAGAAGCGCGCGCCTTTTGTTATGGAAATTTCTCTCTTTGTGGCAAATTAGTGTTGTTATCCGGAACACGGGGTTGAGAAATTAGACGATAAGCAAATTAGACGGAGGTACTTAAAAAGAAATTGGACGAGTTTGCAAAGAGAGATTAAGTGAGAGAGATTTATAA